AAGGAGAGAGAGAGAGAGAGAGAGAGAGGATTGGCAGGGCTTCCTACCCTGCTCCGTGTCCCTGCAGCTCCTAGGCACATCCCAGAATGATATTTGCTTTTTGGCAACAGTGTTACACTGTTCACTCGTATTTAGCTTGTGATCCACTATGACTCCCAGATAGGGTGACCAGATGTCCTGATTTTATAGGGACAATCCCGATTATTGGGTCTTTTTCTTATATAGGGTCCTATTACCTCCCACCCCCGTCCCGATTTTTCACACTTGCTGTCTGGTCACCCTACTCCCAGATCCCTTTATACAGTACTCCTTCCTAGGCAGTCATTTCCCATTTTGTATGTGTGCAACTGATCATTCCTTCCTAAGTGGAGTACTTTGCATTTGTCTTTTATTGAATTGCATCCTATTTTCTTCAGACCATTTCTCCAGTTTGTCCAGATCATTTTGAATTTTAATCTTATTCCCCCCAAAGCACTTACAATCCCTCACAGCTTGGCATCATCTGCAAACTTTGTAAGTGTATTCTCTATGCCATTATCTAAATCACTGATGAAGATACTGAACAGAACTGGACCCAGAACTGATCCCTGCGGGACCCCACTCATTATGCCCTTCCAGCTTAACTATGAACCATTGAGAACTACTCTCTGGGAACGGTTTTCCAACAGTTATGCACCCACCTTATAGTAGCTCTATCTAGGTTGTATTTCTCTCATTTGTTTATGAGATGGTCATATGAGACGGCATCAAAAGCCTTACTAAAGTCAAGATATACCACTTCCCTCCCCCCACCCACACAAACACGGCTTGTTACCCTTCAAAGAAAGAATTAGGTTGGTTTGACACTATTTGTTCTTGACAAATCCATGCTGACTGTTACTTATCACCTTATTATCTTCTAGGTGTTTGCAAACTGATTTCTTAATTATTTGCTCCATTATCTTTCCAGGTACTGAAATTAAGCTGATTGGTCTATAATTCCCCAGGTTGTCCTTATTTCCCTTTTTTATAGATGGACATCTACATAGCCTGAAATAATTCCTAAGGAAGAAGAAGCTGTAAGGCCTCAGATTATTTTGGGACTTGTTAGAGAAGTTTAAGCTGCGTATGCTGCTTTGACTACTGTGAAATTCCAAAAAACTCCCTAAAAAATACCCACACTATGTGTAAACTGGGGGGTGGGGAGAAGGGTGCAAGATGTAATATGACAAACCCAAGACAGCATAGTGTCCAGGAGGGATAACTCAGGGGTTTGAGCATTGGCCTGCTAAACCCAGGGTTATGAGTTCAATCCTTGAGGGGGCCATTTAGGGATCTGGGGCAAAAATCAGTACTTGGTCCTGCTAGTGAAGGCAGGGGGCTGGACTTGATGACCTTGCAAGGTCCCTTCCAATTCTATGAGATAGGTATATCTCTATCTATTTTTTTTTTAGTGGACTTGGCTCACTATGTCTGAAGTAAGCAGAGGGAGTTGAATCCCACAGCTACCAAACCCTGCACATACATTCACTATTTAAAGTGAAACTGAGAATGGGGTGGACTCACTCCCGAAATTCAGAAGGGTCCTGCCCAAATCAGAAGACTGAAAGTCCAGAAGAAAAAGTCACAGGCACAAACAAACCACAGAAGGAAAGCCACATTTTTAAACTAGAGAAGGGCTGGGTTCTGTGTTTTTTCATATTAAAAATACAGATTTGCTTTAAAATGTGGGATGAAGTATAGTTAATAAAAAAAAAGGCAAAACTTTATTAATGCCCAAACTGTCATGCCTCTTCCCCAGGAAGCTGCTGATCACCTTCTCCCTTCTACCCACCCTGGCTATAGGTTTCTGCTGACTTTCCTTTTCACCTTCCTCCCTGGGAGTCTCCCCTTCCCTCCATAGCTGCTGTGCCTCTTGACAGCTACTCCCATTCTCCTCTCTTTGGAAATGGATTACGCTAAACCAGCAAAAGGTATTCTGATTCCAGAATAAGAGTACACCTCTACCCCGATATAACACGACCCGATATAACATGAATTTGGATAGAACGCGGAAAAGCAGTGCTCCGAGGGGGCAGGGCTGCGCACTCCGGTGGATCAAAGCAAGTTTGATATAACGTGGTTTTACCTATAACGTGATAAGATTTTTTGGCTCCCGAGGACAGCATTATATCGAGCTAGAGGTGTATCTACACATGGGAGTTTTTCTGGAATAGCTATTCTGCTTTAAATTCACACCATTTTATTCTGGAATAACTGTCATCTGTACACAAGCTCTAAAGTAAGAGACAATGGGTCTGACCCTCAAATGCCTTGAACTCCTTCAAAGCAAATGGTGTGTGCGCGTGTATGTATAAACTGTCACCAATCTGATACAGCAGCATTTTATTCAAACTTTGTGTAGGCACAAATGATTACACAAGATTCAAGGCAGTGGCAAATAGGCCAATAACTTTTTTAATCGCTATGGGCTTATTTTATACATTATTAATATGCAGAAAAGGTCACAAATACAATTTTTTGAACTCTGCAGGTCACCTTTAAATTAATAACTATTCTGGGGAGCTTTCACCCTAGTTGTAGGCACCATGGTTAAAAAAGAAGTTTAATCAAGCTGTAAACAAATATATACAAAGTTAACCATATAAACAACTGTTCATGCCAATTTTTTCATTTAAACTTTACCTCCCGACCATGTTGTAATTCCTACCATAACATTACTGTGCCACTACAAAGAAACCAGAAAATGAGAGAGAAAGTGAGATTGACCAGTAAGAGTCACCCTCCTACAACGTGAAATGCAAAAATCTTAAAAACTCGAGTGATGCAAATTGAAGTCAATTTTTGAAAAAAATTAATGTTAGTAACACAAGTAAAGATTTTTTTAATATATGTTTTTATTTGCATACCTGAAAATAAAAATGTAAGTTCCTGTATTTCTAAGTTTACTAATGTTGTGTTTTAAAAAAAATGCATACTGTACCAGTGTTGGTGAAATCTGGATGTTTTGGATACTTGGAAGCAGTAAACAGGTATTCACTAGCTGCTTGTTAGAATCTTCTGGAGAGGTTCCCAGAGATCCCATTCCAAATACCTGTTGTAAAAATAGTACATTATTCCAACATTTGATATTTAAGTAATTATCACAAACCATGAAACTTCATTTTGCTAATAAGACTCCAAGAAATCAACTAGTTTTTAAAATTACACTTTAAAAACAAAAGGTAATGCAGCGTTTTGTGCAGAGAGTTCTACTCTAAAAAGTAACTACAGGTCCCCCTTTGTGCATTCATTCATTCAGACATTATGATGTATCCCTAATAAAAGGGCACCCATCAATGTAACATATAAGTGTCTCCAAACAATTAAAAACAAAAACAAATTCTCTTTCAGGCAATTTTAATAGACACATCATATATGTGGATGCTGCTGATGATTCTTGTGAACTGCACCATGATATCAGACACCTCCAGCCAACAGCTTTTCTATCAAAAAGAACGTCTGGGGAGAACACACATTTCACGCCTTCTTTACATAGAAAGAAGCAAAAGAGGGAACTTGTTTTAAAAATTCCATGTCACCTTTAAAACGTACCATGTAGGCTTTGTTGTTCACAGAGCATTGAGAAAAACGGCATGGGGAATGAGTAAATTCATACTTTGACTACTGTTATTTGGCTGAACACAGTTTTCTTCAAAGCTGCGTTAACAGATCAGTAGCACATTGCATATGATGGTTGTATCTTCACAACAGAATAAGACTTTTTAAAACAAGCTTAAAATCTGCAGAGAAATGCAGAATGGAATAAAAACATGAGGGGACCATAAAGCTGCAAGAGTTGAATTTTTCCACATCTGGCATAATCCTCTGCCCCTAATATTAAGGCAGGTTTTATTTAAAGATGATTTTGCTGATTGTGTTTCAATAAGGTATTTACTGTTTCCTTTATCCAGCCTGTACATCAGTGCCAACCCATCAGCAGCCCCAAAACCTACATGAACCATATGAAGGCATATACATGAAGGCAAAATGTGCAGTTCTCCTCACCCACAATGATGTCACAGATAGGGCAGAGGGTTCGTTAGTCTCTTCTAAAATCTTAGCTGCACACTGAACATGTTGAGAAGTGAATTTTCAATCTCTTATATTGCTTTCTTATTCCTCACCCCCAAAACTTTTTTCAGTGAAAGAGCCACATGCTAACTTTGGAATGTATTTTGCTTACTGGTGCGAAGAGAGGTCTTTGCTTTATTTTAAGGTGAAAAAGTATACTCGCCCTCATTTTCCCATAACTCAAAATCACAGCAGTGAATTTTCCACAAGGAACATTGTAAAAAAAATTTTTTTTACATACTCACTGAAATATAAATACGGTATAGAAACATCAAATGTGTTTTATATCCTTTATGCTGTCACAGTGCATCATGCTGCCTCCTGCACCACAGAAGTTATGCCTACCCTAGAGTTTGTGGCCCTGTTATAGTTAAAGCTCTTACTTTATTCTATTAAAGATGACTGCTGTAAAAATCTTTGCAGACTAGTAAAAGCTTGCTGTAAGTTAGTAGCTCCGTTGAAATTTGTACATTACAACCAGGAATTAATTTGGTTTAATACATTCAGCCTCAGTGGTGAGTGAAATGACTGACCATTTTATAAAACACCTTCCTAAAACTTGTCCACAAAAGGACAAGGTGAAATGAGATGTATGAAGAGCAACAAGCCAAATGAAAGAGAAGAGAAGCTGGACATAAAAGTGAGATGATAAATCAGCATATAGTAGATTGTTCTTCTAGCTTCCCTAAAAATATCCCAGCCACATTTCTGAGCCTCTCCCAATGTCACACACCAATAGTGTGCATTATCAGGTATATTTTTCAAGTTAGTTGACCTACATCTCATTTTGAGATTTTTTTCCTATAGCAGTCTCAGGATGAGGGAGTGGGCAATGTGGTTCAAGTTGGTGTTATTTTTTAAATAATGGAGGAAATGAATTTAAAAATTAATCAAAGTGCAGGAAAAAAACAGCAAATATGTAACATCCCCTTTAAAATATTTTAATGTCAAATAACTCAAGAAATACGTGGTGAATTCTTCAGGTAACCAGAATAAGAGGAATCTTCAGGTCACCAGCCATCACTTACCCTTTTGTTTTATTTTTCAAGAAGTCTAAAACTGCTACAACTTACCCCTTCCACCCTGTGAGACTCCACTGCATCTATCCACAAAAGAACCCCAGCGCTCGAAGACCACCTACACAAGACTCAGTAAGTTTGTTTCCTAAACACTTCTAATGCATGTTACATCCCAGCATAGTGCATGCTATGCTGGCACATGGTGTAGAAGCAGCTATTTGTGGCAGGTGGACATAGACCCCAATCCTACAAAACACACATGTGTTTAACTGGATTACCATGAGTTAGTCCCAGTAATTATAGTAACATTAAGGGCATACATAAATGTTTGTAGGACCAGGGTCTTAGTCAACGGCAAACTTTGCTCCCTTTATCCTGGTTATGTCAGGAATTCAACATATTTTCAAAGTTAGATTTTTAAGTTAATGTCTTTAGAGGTCATTTTTGAAGCACGAGTCAATTGAAAAGTTACCTGATATGAAAGTACTCCATGAGATGAGGTATTTATAAATAATGAACTTTCAATATTGCCTTCCTCTGTTGGCAGAAAGAGGACTCTGAAAGAAATTTTTCCCATTGCTGGAATCACCTAAAGAGACAACATAAAAGCCTGCTGCTCAATACAGCTAATTGCAGCTCCTTCCCTTTGACATCATCTATCATCAGACCTTTCTATATATGAATCCAGATGCATGAACCCCACAAATGCAGGGCCCCATCCCGCCAGGTACTGAGCACACTCAACTCCCAATAAAGACAAGAACTGAGAGCACTCAGCAATGTGCAATGTTGAGCCCAGAATTTTTAGGATATCAAATGGTCAGGAGGACACTTAACAGAAAGCTCTAAAAGCTTGTCCACCTACACAATACCGATGTCCAAAAACGTTTCAGCCCAACAATCGGTTCTCTGTAGTTCAGTACACAGTGAAGTGAACCAATGCATGAGCTATATGATGCTTAATGAACTGAGTCACAGTTAAGGTTGGGCATACAGTTTGGCAACCAAATCTGAGCCTAACTCATAAAAACAGAATCAAGTTTATGTCTGGAAAATCCTAACTCTTCCCCATTTATGTGAGCCACGTTCAAGCTTGTTTGCTGAACCATTCATTCAGCCCTAGTCAAAATGGTGATTGGATATAAGCAAATGGGGGAAAAAAATACCAGCACACCAGAAGAGGGTGAAATCTGGGCTTTGTCAACTTGAGCACCGCAGTGTACTTTTTACATACTTCAGATGTTCTTAAGTTTCACAAAGAGAGTTTTAATTAAACAATTGTCCTGAAGTTTGTTATTTTTATAACTGCAATCCAAAATCTTTAAAAAAAACCATTGTATTGTAAATCTGCTTTATAAGGAACATGCAGGACTATACTCAAGAGATTGAGAATCCAAGGCTATAAACAGCTTCAGGCCTTTGAACTACTGAACTCCACAGAAGCACTATGGTACATACAGTAGAGTGGGATTTAACAAACCATCTTAACAATAACGAATTCTTTCCTTTCTGAGCCATCTTAAAATGAGCCTCTCTTATTGTAGGAGTTTGGATTTCCCTCCCTTATCTATCCAGGTATAAGTGAAACAAAAACGTAAGCTAGCAAACACAGAGAAAGAATGAGTTGGGGGTAGCATGGAAAAAGAACACAGAACAAAAACTTTAAGCCAAAATAAACATGAAGCATTGGCACTCCGCCACTGCATAGTTTCCAAGAGTACATCAACACTCACCCTGCGATGAACAGGAGACACATGAAAATGTCTAGTAGCTGTAAACACTGAATTCACTACAACTTCTCTATCCCTACTAGGGTTGTAAGCATACAGCACTTTAGATCTGGGCAGTCCCAGTAACCTAAGGGGGAAAAAACAAAGTATTACTGATTTTATAAACATTGGTAATTTGCAAGAAAAATCAACACAGTTTGGTGCTATTAAAACATTTTGATATGTAACAATCTGTCAGCTTAACAGTTTGACCCTTTAAAATATAAAGAAAAATAAATGACATTGAAACATATCGGTTACACATAGCAAAAACCACATACGGTCATTAACAGTTTGTGAAACATAGATACGTACATACATACATACATACATATAGAGAGAGAGAGAGAGAGAGAGAGAGAGAGAGGGGGGTCGGGGGGTTTTTTTTACTCGCTGGGTACAGATTTTTTAGG